TTTTGTAGTTTTAATAAATAAGTTATATCATATACTGAATAAATATTATATATTTGATTATTTTAATTATTTAGTTTTGATTTTTACATTATTAAAGTTGTTTTTTATAAATATTAAATGTAGAATAATTTAAAGAATTTTATTATATATATTATATATAAGATAATATTTTTATTACAAACCCACAGGAATATTTAATTCCAAAATGTTTTCTAATCATATGAAAACACTTGTACAACTTGCTGTACAACAACAACAGCAACATCAACGTGGTATGGCAACTCTTAAAGCCATTTCTATAAGATTAAAATCTGTAAAAAATATTCAGAAAATTACTCAATCAATGAAAATGGTATCTGCTGCTAAATATAATAGAGCAGAAAGAGATTTAAAACAAGCAAGACCTCTTGGTGTTGGCACAAAAATCTTTTATGAACAAGCTGAAATTCAAGCTCCGCCAGAAGATGAAAAAAAACTTGTAGTAGCAATAACAAGTGATCGTGGATTGTGTGGTGCTGTACATACTGGAGTTTCTCGTAATATTAGAGATTCTCTTTTAGCAGATCCCAAAGAACGTGAAAATACAAAAATTATATGTGTTGGTGAAAAATCACGAGCAATTTTATCACGATTATTTGCTAATAATATATTATTTGTTGCATCTGAAGTTGGTCGTAAACCACCTACATTTAATGATGCTGCCAAAGTAGCAATTGAAATCATGAACAGTGGGTATGTATTATTATTAATTTAATACAAAATATCAAATTAATTTTCAAATTAATATATTTTATATATTAATTTTTAAAATATAAAATAAAATAATTTTATATATATAATTAGTAAATTATTAATTAATTTATTATTATATATTATAATTTTTTATTAATTAATTTATTATTATATATTATAATATATTTATTAGTTAATTATTAATTAGTATATTAGTATACATAATTATATTGTATATTTATAATATTATACATATATAATATTTAATAAATTAATATTTACAGATATAGTTTTGGTTCTGGTCGTATTGTTTACAATAGATTCAAATCTGTGGTATCATATAGTGTTGATCAATTACCTCTTTTTGATAAAAATGCAATAGTTAGTGCACCAAAATTATCTTTATATGATTCTTTGGATGAAAATGTAATTCAAAGCTACTTAGAATTTTCTCTAGCCTCTTTATTATTTTATTCAATGAAAGAAGGTGCTTGTAGTGAACAATCAAGTCGAATGACTGCTATGGATAATGCTAGTAAGAATGCAGGAGAGATGATAGATAAATTAACTCTAACATTCAATCGTACTCGACAAGCTGTAATTACTAGAGAATTGATTGAAATTATTTCTGGTGCTGCTGCTTTGGATTAAAAAAAAAAAATATTTATGAAAAAATTAATACATTATAGTGTTGTGAAGTAGAACACAATTATCGATCATTGGTGATTATACATTATTAAAAGAAAAAAAATTCACAATTTCAAAATTAATTTGAATCAAATCCAATCAAATTATTCATTGGAATATTTATAATATTATAATTTACTATACTTTATAATATTATATTAAAACTGCCAAATAAAATGGATAATTCTATTAACTTTTGTATTATTATATTACATATATTATATTTATAAATTATTATTAATAAAATTATAATATAAAATTAAATGTGAAAACATAAATTAATTGAAAATTCTTAAAATAATTTCAAGTAACGTTTTCCTTTCCAAAATCTTTCGTTACTTTGTTAACAAATTTCAGAGTTATTAACAAAAAACACTGATCATGAAACATATAAATTAGTCGCATTGTTCGGTCAATGAACAAGTCTAAGCAATATATCGAAGAAAAAAATAATAAAAAAATTATTATGTTAAACATAATAAATATTTTTTTAATGAAAAAAAATTATCAAATTACATCTTATTCAAAAACAATAAATAAATAAATTAATTACTATTAAGACATTTATATAGGATCCTTTCTTTTATCATCCTTTTCTTTCTTTCCTATATATATATATATATATACTTATACAAATTTTTACTTTAATATTATAAATTTTCATAAAATCTTTTTGTAAATTACAAACTATATAACTGAAAAAAGAAAAAATATTATATATTTATAAGTTATTAATGAATTTTTAATCTAAATGTAAAATATTATAGTCTTATTTTACAAATTTATGTATTCAAAACTAAATTATATATTCGTATTAATATTTTATATATAATAATTCTTTTTTTAATCACAATTAAAATGAATTTTATAAATATTTATAAATACTATATTAAATAATATTAAATAATGCCTACAAATAAATACTTATAATAATAATATATGTTTGAGCAATATTTGATACATTGAAGAACACAAACTTTGAAATGTATGATTATATGTTCAAATATAATCTCAAATTATAACAAATAGAAAATAATGGAAGAAATTCGAAAATCTCGTGTTATTCTTGAAGAATATGGTATACCAAATGTAAGCATTTTAAATAATATGCAATATATATGTATATTAGTTATAATTAAAATAAATAATTATTAATGATAATTTTATTTTTTAGGCTTCTGAATATACACATTATCAACCTCAACAAGATTGGAACTTACATAATTTTAAAAAAGTACTTTTTAATTTGAATAGAAAATGTTATAATTATTGCATAATATATTGATTTATATTTTTAGGAATTTAGAATACAAGTTATGAGAGAATCTGAAGATAATAGAGAACTAGAATTTGATTTAATAGGTTATCCTGTTGGGTTTGCTAATGCATTTCGTAGAGTTCTTTTGAGTGAAGTACCAACCATGGCTATAGAAAAAGTTTATATTGTGAATAATACAAGTTTGATTCAAGATGAAGTTTTAGCTCATAGGTAATTTTTTATATTTAAAATTATCTCTTTGTTTAAAAATAACATATATTATTATTAAAGATTGGGTTTAATACCACTTCGAGCTGATCCAAGATTATTTGAATATCCTTCCTCTACTGCTAAAGATCAAGATGAAGTTAGTGATCAAGATACATTAAGATATGAACTTAAAATATCATGTACTTGGAATTCTCAAGCACCTAAAGATTCTCGAAGGACAAATGATATGTATAGAAATAGCAATGGTAAATATTTAATAATGGTAAATAATTAAAAAAGATGGTAAAAATTTAAAAAGAAAAATAATTTTATTTATAGTATATAGTAGAGATATTAAATGGGTTCCTATTGGACATCAAGCAGAACTCTATCCTCGAGGAACAGAACAATTAGGTGTTTTAGAAAATGATATTTTAATATGTAAAATGCGTCCAGGACAAGAAATTCATGCTTTTATGCATGCAGTTAAAGGAATTGGGAAAGATCATGCTAAATTTTCTCCTGTAGGTAAGTATTAGATATTTACTAAAGTACATATTATCAAATTTTATAATATAAATTATTTTATAATTGATATATTGTATATATATATGTATAATATTGTATATACTTTTTCTTTAGCTACAGCATCATACAGACTATTACCAGATATACAAATAATAAAACCAGTAAAAGGAGAAATGGCAGATCGTTTAAAGAATTGTTTTAGCATAGGTGTTATAGAAGTAATTGAGAATAAATCTGGTGATCCAGATTCTCGTGAAGCCAGAGTAAAAAATCCTCGCTATGATAGTTGTTCTAGAAATGTATTTCAACATGAAGATCTCAAAGGATGTATACGATTAAGTAGAATAAGAAATCATATTATTTGTAAGTTGAAATATTGTGTCTAAAAATATTATTTATTTGAATATTATATATATTAATATTGTTTTTTTTTTTATAGTTACTATTGAATCAGTGGGAACATTATTACCATCTGTATTATTTGTAGAAGCAATTAAGATACTTAAAGGAAAGTGTAAAACATTTTTAGAAGAACTTGAACATATTGAAAAATAATTAGAATTGATATTATTTTTAATTATAATAATAAAAAATAAATAATTACATATAATATATAATTTTAGATAATTACAATTTTTATTATACCAATATTTATAATATAATTTAATAAAAAATAAATGTAAATATATATAAAATCTATAAAAATCTTAACATTATTAAAAAATTTAAATTTTAAATACTAACTTTTTCATGTATAATATTATTTATATGTATAATTATAAAATAATTATAAAATAATATATTTTTTTGTTTCTTGTATTCCATGATATTTAAATATTTTATATAATAATATATTATAAAATAATAAAATAAAATTATAAAATAATTTTAATTATTCAATTTGTTGATATATTTGATATATTTGAGGTTATCAGTTATTTAATTTGTTATTTTATACTTTATATATAATTTAAAATTGTATGATTATTATAAGCTTAATACATATAATTTGCAAATTATTATAATTATTTATAAATTATTTTAAACATCATATAAAAATAATTAAAATTTGATTCTTTATTAAATTGTTAATATATATTTTTATCATTATTAAATTAAAAAAAATATTTTTAACAATATATTTAATTAGTAATATATATAAGTTAATTTTATTTTACATGTTTATATCAATTATATCTTCTATTTCTATAATAAAATATATAATAATTCAAATTAAAGAATAGATAGTACAAAATAATAATTTACTTCCATGTTTATTGTGATGCGATACCATAGACTTCTTGCACTAAACTTTTATCACAAGTAAAATTTTATATTTTTCTATCATCATTTTAAGTTTTGTTTTTACAATTACGGATAATGGGATTAGGAATTTTTCGATGGAAGATATTATTGATTATTCTGTCAGTTTTACTTTTTTGGCAATCCTCGAAAATATGGTTGAATTTTACACAAGGAAAATCTGGCATAAAAGGTAAAAATCCATGTTCACAAATATTATAAAATTGATTTTTTAAGATATTTTTTATTAATATATAATATAGTTTTAATTAATATATAATTAATTAACTATTATTTTATTAGTATGTTAATTTAAAAATTTAATAATTATAATTTTCAATTCTAAATGCCATATAAATTATTATTATATAACTCTAAATTATATACATTAAATAAGTAGTTAATCAATGTAAAACTTATATTGATATAAATAATTTTCATAATTAATAAATTATATATTAAAATTAATGAAATAAATTTTATAAAAATAAAGTATTATTATTATACATATAAATATTTAATTTTCATGTCAATGGCTTAAAAATAAAAATAAAAATAATTATGTAACTTTCTCGATTTTCTTGGATATCTGCTAAGTTTTGTATAGCACAGCTTCAGGATAATCAACCAATAACATTAAGCCAAAAAGAAGAGAAAAATGCACAAAAGATACACATAGCTATTTATTATGAAGCACTATGTCCAGATTCACGCAGTTTTTTCATAAAACAGTTATTACCAACATATCACAGAATTCCAGATAATGTACGAATAGAATTTATACCATATGGAAAAGCTATGGTAAGACACTTTAAATAAAAAAAAAGAAAATTTTAAATATAATATATTTCTTAAAAATTATGTATTATTATATATTAATATAATAATAATATATATAATAATAAAATAATTTTAATAATATTCTATCATAATATGTCATTATTATATGTCATCTATTATATTTTCCATTTTTCATTTCAATAACAATAGATTAGTGTATCTTGCTTATTTAAATATTTTTAAATTAAATTAAAAGATTATTTATTATTTTTAAAGATAAAAATAAATATATATTTAGAATTATTCATCTAAATTAAATTTTTTATAGACATTGAAAACAGAAGATGGATATGAATTTAAATGTCAACATGGACCTATTGAATGTGCAGCAAATATTATTCATGCATGTTCTATAGACATTTTAAAGAATTCTTCCATTAAATTAGAATATCTATCTTGTATGATTAAAAATAACATGATACCAAAAAAGATCATGGAAACCTGTGCAAAAAAAATGAATATAGATTATAATCCTATATTTAAGTGTTATAATGAAGAAAAAGGTAAAGAACTTTTGGCTGAATATGGAAAATTAACAAATGTTTTAATACCAAGAATTTCTTTCATACCAACTGTTATAATAAATGGGGTAAGTTTCTTTAAATCAATTTCAAAATACATTTATTTAGAGCAAATTATTAAAAAGAAATTTTAATTCTATACTGTAATAAATATGGATTTACAGAGTTCAGAGAACCAGGCAAGGATATTAAAAAATTTACTACAAGAAGTATGCTTACATTTTAAGATTATTCCAGAAGGTTGTATACCATAAAAATATGCAAAGAATTTACAAAACATTAAATTTTCCTGACAAAATTGCATGAAATATAATATTTTTTACATAAATTTTTATGTATTTAATGAATGTAAAGATTTTTAAAAAATGACTTTTACCTTTTATTAAAAAAAAAAGTTTTTATTATTAAAACAAAGTAAGAAATATTAATTTAATGAAATTGAAGAATAAATACATTTATATTAATATATAATTAATAGAAATTATAAAATTTAGTAAAAATATTATTATTTAAAAATTTTAATAGAAAAATA